GTGTCCCCATGGCCCCGTGTCCCCGCTCACACCGTGTCCCTGCTCACGCTGTGTCCCCACATCCCTGTGTCCCCGCTCACACCGTGTCCCCACGGCCCCGTGTCCCTATTCACACCATGTCCCTGCTCACGCTGTGTCCCCACATCCCCGTGTCCCCGCTCACACCGTGTCCCTGCTCACACCGTGTCCCCACGGCCCTGTGTCCCCGCTCACACCGTGTCCCTGCTCACACCGTGTCCCCACGGCCCCGTGTCCCTATTCACACCATGTCCCTGCTCACACCGTGTCCCCACATCCCTGTTCACACTGTGTCCCTGCTCACACTGTGTCCCCACATCCCTGTGTCCCCGCTCACACCGTGTCCCTGCTCACGCTGTGTCCCCACATCCCCGTGTCCCCGCTCACACCGTGTCCCTGCTCACACCGTGTCCCCACGGCCCCGTGTCCCTGCTCACACCGTGTCCCCACGGCCCCGTGTCCCCGCTCACACCGTGTCCCTGCTCACGCTGTGTCCCCACATCCCCGTGTCCCCACATCCCCGTGTCCCTGCTCACACCGTGTCCCCACGGCCCCGTGTCCCTATTCACACCGTGTCCCTGCTCACACTGTGTCCCCACATCCCTGTTCACACTGTGTCCCTGCTCACGCTGTGTCCCTGCATCCCTGTGTGCCCACATCCCTGTGTCCCCACTCACACCGGGTCCCTGTGTCCGTGTCCCTGTGGACATGTGACCCTGCATCCCGGTGTTCCTGCTCATGCCACACCTCTGTGTCCCCACATTCCCATGTTCCCACATTCCTGCGTCCCTGTATCCTTGTGTACCCACATCCCTGTGTCCCCACATCCCCGTGTCCGCACGTCCCTGTGTCCCCACATCTGCACATCCTCGCTCGCACCGTGTCCCTGTGTCCCCGTCCCCGTGTCCCCCACATCCATGTGTCCCTACATCCCTGCTCACCCCGCGTCCCCACTCACGCCGCGTCCCCGTGTCCCGTGTCCTGGGGCGGCAGGAGGAGTTCGGCAGCCTGGAGGAGGCGCTGCCCGACACGGACGTGCTCTACGTGACCCGCATCCAGAGGGAGCGCTTCGAGTCGCCCGCCGCCTACAAGGCCGTGAGCGGGGGGACGGGGGGGGACACCGGGGGGTCACAGTGGGGGTCACACTGGGGTGTCACGGCAGCAGGGGGAGGGTCACACCGGGGGGGTCACCATGGGGAGGTCACGGTGGGGGGGGGGTCACCATGGGTATCACAGCGGGGGTGTC